TTTTCCACTTCCCCTCTGTGTGTCTCTTCCCCAAGCCCTCTGTCTGTTTCTTTGTCTTCCATATACCATCTGTGTCTCCTTATCCCCCCAAGCCCATCTGTGTGTCTCTTTGTGCCCTCCCCTGTCCCTTTGTGCTTCCCCCCTTTGCGTGCTCGCTTACTTCCATGTAGCGCGTAGAGGATCTTCTGTATCCTCTATCCGATCTGACAGGAAGGTGTTCGTAGAAGTGAGAATGCCTTATGGTTGTGCCGGCCTTCATTTTTAAATTCACTTTAAATTTCCAAACAATTCTAAATTTTGTGAATACTCTATTACCAACTGAGGATTTGTGTCAAACAGCTCTCATTAAGTAAAGGCCTCTTCTCCCCAACCCCTCTCTGTCCCCCCTACTGTTCTCTATCTGAGGGCCTCTCCACGATTTCCAACTGGATGGCTGCTCACTTCCTTAAACTCAACCTTTTTTAAAACAGATCTTCTGGTCATTCTTCCCTCAAGTGTTGCTACACTCGTGTCTGTCTCCCTCCAAGTCAACGGCACCACCATCACCTCTACCTCGCAGGCTTGCTGCCTAGGTGTTCTCTTTGACTCTGACCTCTCCTTCACCCCTCATGTCCAGTCAATCGCCAAATCTTGCCACTTCCATCTCAAGAGCATACTCCCACATCTGATGCTCGTCTTCAAGACTTCTCCAGGGCTGCACCTTTTCTGTGAAACTCCCTTCCCTTCTCTTTCACCCAGTCTCCACTGCTTCAAAAAATCTTTAAAACCACATTTCTTCAGGAAATAATATCATTTAAACTTTTAATGGGTTTTCATCCCCCCATAACTCCTCTCCTGCAACTGTCAAAATAACCTACTAAGGTATCAGTGAATACTTTTCCAGCAACCTATTTCATTACCCCTACTTATACCTTTTGTGTCACTTTACCCCACTCCCTCCAGCATGTAAGCTCATTGAGCAGGGCCGTCAACCCCTCTGTTCCTGTGCGTCCACTTGTCTGGTTACAATTACATGTCTGTAAGTCCACCCATTGTACAGCGCTATGGAATTTGCTGGCGCTATATAAATAATAAAATAATAATAATGTTTATAGGAGGTGTTAACAGCTTCTAAATGTCAGGTTTCTTGCCCCGTCTCTACTGTTTAACGGCTGCCGTTAATCCTCAGAAACGTATTATATAGCTATATGCAGGGACGTATTAGCCGCGAGGCAAACAAGGCATTTGCCTTGGGCAGCATTTTTCAGGGGGCGGCAAAAAACGCCGCCCCCCAAATTCTCAGGGCAAATGCCTAGTTAGCCTCACGGCTAACAGACATGCTGGGCGGCGCTGGCTGATGGTCGGGCGGGCGGCTGGCGAGGGAGCACTTCCTCTTAGTGATCTGCTCAGCTCCCTCATGCGCCGCAGAGTGAGGCTGGGAGCCGGAATATGACGTCATCAACCCGGCTCCCAGCCTCACTCTGCGGCGCACGAGGGAGCTGAGCAGAGTGCTCAGAGGAAGTGCTCCCTCGCCAGCAGCCAGCCCATCAGCCTGACCGGCAGCCACTGGACCACCAGGGAGAAAGAGGAACCCCCCCAGCACTCCCAAAGGTAAGGAGGCTGGGGGGGGGGGGTTAAATAATAAAAAAAAAGGTGTTAATGTGGAGTGATTGTGTATGTGTGTGTCTGACTGTTTGTGTGTGTGTGTGTGTGTGTGTGTGTGTGTGACTGTGTGTGTGTTTGTGTCTGTGTGTGTGTGTGTGTGTCTGACTGTGTATGTGTGTTCTGTGTGTGTGTGTGTGTGTCTGACTGTGTGTGTGTGTGTTTGTGTGTGTGTGTGTCTGACTGTGTGTTTGTGTCTGACTGTGTGTGTGTGTGTGTGTGTGTTTGTGTGTGACTGTGTGTGTGTTTGTGTCTGACTGTGTGTGTGTGTGTGTGTGTCTGACTGTGTTTGTGTCTGACTGTGCGTGTGTGTGTCTGACTGTGTGTGTCTGACTGTGTGTGTGTTGTGTCTGACTGTGTTTGTGTGTGTGTGTCTGACTGTGTGTGTGTGTGTGACTGTGTGTGTGTGTTTGTGTCTGACTGTGTGTGTGTGTCTGACTGTGTGTGTGTGTGTCTGACTGTGTGTGTGTGTTTGTGTCTGACTGTGTGTGTGTGTGTGTCTGACTGTGTGCGTTTCTGTGTCTGACTGTGTGTGTGTGTGTTTGTGTCTGACTGTGTGTTTGTGTCTGACTGTGTGTGTGTGTCTGACTGTGTGTGTCTGACTGTGTGTGTTTGTGTCTGACTGTGTGTCTGTGTGTCTGACTGTTTGTGTGTGTGTCTGACTGTGTGTGTGTGTATTTAGAAGGTGGGGCGGGGGGAAGGGTTGGGCGGGGGTGGCGCGGGGGGAAGGGTTGGGCGGGGGTGGCGCGGGGGGAGGGGGTGCCCGAGTTTTGACCCGTCTAGGGCAGCACAAAACCAGTATACACCACTGGCTATATGGCATTACATTGAGACCCTAGAGCCCATATCAAAGCAATTAAACCCTTCACTACCAAGTGGTTTGCAAAAACACAGCAAGAGTCTGATTATTTCTGGAAAGTAATGTTTAAAGGTATTTGTTTTTTGGTATGCATAGATAGCACATTAAATGGAAATCAAAGTTAATTTTTGGTTGTACCAAATTATGACGTTACAGATAAAAAAAAAAAACAATGTTGTAAGTCTATATATATTTTTATATAGATACATTGCTCCACATGTTGCCACATTACCATGTATATGTAATTACCATTACATACTGTGAGAGTATGTATCTGGCAGTAAGTATCCTTGTGCGTCTGTTGCGTATATCTGTGTGTATGTGTATTGTGACTGTGTCTGGAATGCAGATATGTGCCTGTGTGTGGAACATTCAGTATGTTGTTTCTATGGAGAGTTGTTTGTGGTCTTGATGTGTGCATTGTGTTTATGATGAGGCTGTGTATGAGGGTAAATGTGTGTGGAAAGATTGTTACAAGGTGTCTGTATCTATGGGATGACTGTGAGAGGTGAGTGTGGGGTACGTTATGAAGGGTAGACTGTGTGTCAGGAGACTGTATTACTATTTTCAGCCTTCCCACATTGTGCTCCTCGTTATTTAAAAACATAAAACATAAATTAGCAGTAGCCCCCTTCATGCTGTTCCTATGCACGGAGGAGGGCTCTTATCTTGATTTCATTGCAGGCCTGCAATGAAAGAGAGAGTTCTGTAGATCTCTCCACCAGCCCATGCAGCTGTGGGGAGTGGGCCACCAGAGCCAGTGTTATAATGGTATCTTCGGCTGTGCTATCTGGGCAGTTAATGCAAACAAAGTTTGCAATAATTAAATTTGTGTATAAATGACTCTGGGGAATGGCTGCATACCCTGGGAATCCGATAAATTCTGGCGTGAAGGGATTAATTAATGCATATCCAAAATCAATAACATTAAAGAAAAGTGCCAGTAAAAAACATAATATAAAACATAAAATTATTATTGATCTAAGTAAAGTGTATGTTTCATTTAAAAAAATAAAATAAAAAAATCACGTAGCAGAAATTATTGGGAATGTAACCAAACATTCTTTCACCGACCCAGCAGAAGCTAATTACTCAAGGGAGGGAGTGGGTGAAGAATATGAAGAGTGTTTAGAGTTTCAAGGTTTAGTTATTCAAGTGAAAATTCAAACTGAATTTCATATTTGACATTTAAATAGCCAAACTTGAAATATTCTCTAACTCAGCTATGCTTCTAGTTCGTCTGCTCTGGCCTTATATTTGAAGGTGACTTTTAATTCTCATTATAGTGAATAACCCTGTTAGAACTGAAATCATAGCTATTTTTTTTATTTGTCTATTTTGGCCTATAATATAAAAATCCATTTTGTATTTACTAAAGTCAGAATCGCCAGGAATAAAAAGTGAATTTCAAATTCAAGAGCAAAGTAGCAGAACTGGATTTTATTCTACTTTGGCCTTAAAGGGATACCATATGCACCCAGACAACATAATTGTATTGAAGTGGCCTGGGTGCAGTGTCACTGTCCCCTTAGCCCAGCAATGTAAAACATGGCAGTTTTAGAGAAACTGCAATGTTTACCATTGCAGGATTGAGACAGCCTTAGGTGGCTATCTACTAAATTCAAGCGGAATTTAACTCCTTGAAACAAAACTGGACATCCTCATGATTTACATGAAAACATCCGGCATCTTGAAAACCCTTCCCTCGCATTATGTTTCCCCCATTGCTGTGACGTTGCAGGAGGGGGAGACAGAGCCTGCGCCGAGAGCCGTTGGCGCTGGGATCATGTAAGTGAAGGTATGGGTTTTTTAACTTTTCATGAGAGGGAAGGGGCGCAGAGGCAGAGGGACACTGTAGCGTTAGAAATACATTTTTATATTTTCTTACACTAGTGTTCCTTTAATATTGAAATTCACTTTGAATACCCAACAATAACCCTGTAAGTGTATGCAGCAAGGCTGCTATTAGACCACTCCAGCAGTAAGTATTCTTTGGACGTGTTCCCAATAAAAAAAAAGGGGGGGGTCAATGGTCTACTCTTTGATAAATAAGTGTTACCAAGAGTAAAAATAAAATTATTTTATCGTGAAGTGTAACTCTCCACAGGTTTAAGGATGCCATACCCCAATGTTCCATGCAGATTCCTAAAGAATCTGAAATAGAACATTCCATTAGACTGCAAACCAGGTTCAATTGGCCCCAGCTGCTTGTTATTGAACACATGTTGCATGCTCTATATTAACAGGAAGCCCACATATTATTGTTAGCATAGGCTGAAAATTGCTAAGGCATTTCCAAATAGCACACGGTATCACAGCGTAGTATTTTAACGGTACTTTCCTTTTAGCCTGTTTTATCTTAACCCTGAGAGGTCTGGCTACAACGGTGGCATTAATGTTGAATTGCCAACCTATCTTTTGAATATATTTTTCTTCCTTCCTAATTCCCCCTCCTACCCCTTCACTTCCTTATTCATGTCGGTCTGAGCTCCACCCAGCCCGTGGAAAGAAACTAACTTTTACAAGTCTGGCGAGCTGCTCAAACAAGAGTCAGGAAGAGAGTATAAAACCGACCCAAAGTAAAATAAACCAGCTTAAAATTCTATGTTTATATTTAAACCGACGAAAGAGTGGAGAGCTCAGACCTGACTTTTTTTTTTTTTTTACTTTTTTAAAAACTTTACAAAGGGTTAAGGACTGCTTCACAACGCTCTCAATATGTCTGAGTTGTTCCCCACAACCAATGCAGACTTAAGTGACGTTTTATGCCAGGTAAAATCTGTTTTAACATGCATGCTACTTGTTTCCTTTGTTGGATGGCTGTTATACTATTAGCCTATATTTTTTGGGTGTTTGGGTGGAGGGGGGAAGCAGCGAAGTGTATTTTAGGCTTTGTTCAACTTCAAAGAGAGGCTGGGGTGGTTCTTTTAAACCTAGAATTGTAGGACCTCTTTTTGGTGAAGTTTAACATTTTAGGCAAAAGTAGCCGAAGATTGGCATGTTTTCCAAATCAACTGTTGTATTCGGTTCGACTACTCTGGCCTAAGAGTTCAAATTCACTTTGTAATCTTGAGCATTCACGTTTTTGTAAATAACCATGAGACCATGTGGCTTATTCACTAAACAGGGAGTTGCAATTTGAATTGTAGATTTCTGGCTGAAATGGTTTACCTGTGTCTATAGTGAGTCAGATACTTTTTTTTTTTTGCTTAACGTTTGCAGGTTTTTTTTTTTGTTTTTTTTTCAATTCTCAAAATTCAGTTTTTAGTGAGTAATCTCCTGTGTTTTGAAGTGCATTGTTTGATCATGGGTGTTTTTCAGGTTTTTAAATAATGCAGTCACACATTCTCTTGTTTATTGCCCATTCCATGTCTGTTTAACTTCTTAATATAATATAATTTTCTTAACTTTTAAGTCAAATGAAGAATACAAATTCTCAGTCTACCTTTTTTATGTGGGTGTTTTTTTTATTTATTTATTTTATTTCCCATATCTAAAATGTGTGACTTGAATTGCTTTCTTTTTCTCATTAACTTCTGGCAAAAGCCATGACTTTTAGTTCTTTGTTCTGTCCTATATCAAACCATGTGTAACTCTTGCTCACAATGCAAAGACACTTATGTAGTGCTGCGAGTGTTGGTGTCCTGTCTTATTTTAAGGGACTTTCCAAACACCATAACCACTAAAGCTTGCCACACTGGTTATAGTGCCAGGAGTGCCCTACTACCTCCAGTTTATGTATTCAAACCGTCTTAAGGATGGCTTGACCCCTTAGCTGTGGTGTGCCTGGTGTCGCTTCTCACCTCCACTACAGCAGGCCGATAGCTCTCATTGACTAGGCTTAGCTCAGAGTGTTCTTGTCACTCTATAGGCTGTAATGAAGAAGGGGAGCAGCGGTCTGTAGGTCAGAATTCAAATAATTTTAAAAATTGTTAAACTACATACATTTGAAGGGTGACAGGTGCTGTGCAACCACCAGCATACTGTAGTGGTTATGGTACTTGGAGCATTCCTTTGAGAAATTTTATGGAGTGGTCAAATAGCTAATCTGAAGAACATCCTCAATAATGGCATGTCCTGAAACACAAAATTTGTCACAAATTTGATCAATTTCCTGTGTGGTGATGAGCATGGTTAAGTAAATGTGTTAGTTGTATGGGGGTTATTGACTAAAGAAGGGAAAATAAATTATTGGAGAATAGAAAGTTTTTGTGTCCTAGACTTCTTGCAGCTTAAACATTGTATTTATTTTCCTTCCCTTTACCACAGAGTAACAAAATGAACCATATTGTAACGGATCCTTTCGCTGCAATAGAGCCTCTAATGGACAGGAAAGCAGTAGGAACACCAGCTGTAGGCCGCATTGCAAGGCGACATTCGGTTGGATTTCCTAGCCATAAATTCAACCCTAACCAACTTGTTGACCTTTCGGCAGGCATCATTGGCAACAAAGAAAACAAGTTCAGGGACCGCTCATTCTCTGACAGTGGAGAGCGGGTAACCCAAAAGCCTAGTGGATTGGTGAACTCAAGTCGCTACAAGACTGAATTGTGTCGCCCTTTTGAGGAGAATGGATCGTGCAAGTACGGGGAAAAGTGTCAGTTTGCGCACGGTATGCACGAACTGAGAAGCTTGACCAGACATCATAAGTACAAGACTGAGCTGTGCCGTACTTACCACACCATTGGGTTTTGTCCTTATGGACCACGCTGCCACTTCATACATAACGCAGAAGAACGGCGTTTGGTGGGTGCACATGACAAGGTGCCATTATCTCCACCAACCTATAATCTAGGAAGACCAAAGTTCCAACACAGCTTTAGCTTTGCTGGTTTCCCTTCTACATCTGGGCTACTGGACAGCCCTACCTGCTCTACAACTCCGCTGTTTTTTGGCACTGATGACTTTGTTAGCTCTCCAACCTTGCCTGATTATGCCAGTAGCCCTTTCACCAGCCAGGAAATACCAGTCTTGTTTGCACCTACCATGGGAATACAAATTCCTTTGTGCAGTATAATTACTCCTGAGTCACCAACCTTTCTCCAGGAGTCCATGTCGGAGACTCCACAGGAATCTGAAGTGAACCATCAAGATTCCCTGTCTGACCAAGAAGGCTATGTGAGCAGCTGTAGCAGTGGCTCTGATTCTCCCAGCATGGATGCCTCTAAACGTCTTCCCATCTTTAGCAGGCTGTCTGTATCTGATGACATTTAGGGTCCTGCTATACTATGCTCTACCCCATTTTTTTTCCTTGGGGAGGAAAAAATGCCATTAATTCAAAACTATGGATGACTTTCCCACCAAATATCCACTTGCAAAGTCTTTCTTACCTTCTCTTGAATATGCCAGAAAGATATATATTTTTTTTATTTTTATTTTCAATAATGAATAGTGCCTTTTTATCTCAATGTTCTGTTGGGTCTTTCTGACCTTTGCATACTGTATATGCAAAAAAACAAAACAAACACTCTTGAAGTCCCTGTAATGTCGTCATTCCAAAGGTGCTTCATACCATGTCTTGGTATTTGCTTTGGTACCATTCAAGTTTTCACCTTTGTGATCATGTCTGGACTGCAGAGAATTGACGCATTCAATATTTAAGATTCTGGGATTATCCTTTTAGAGGTGTGTAAGAGGCCAGTTGGACTTTGAAACAGACTTTTAGTTTTTGGTACTGATTAGGATAATTTGAAATGCAAGTTTTGTAGAAGGTCATCTTAATATGTTCTGTTCCATTAATTGACAAATGAGGTTGCTAATATCTTTAATATTTTTTTTTTATTTTTTTTAAACAAGTACCTTCTAGGTGGTGTCCTAACTTTATAGAGCATCCTTTTTTTTTTTTTTTAATTTTGTGTAGCATTTAAATGGGAGAGCAATAATTATTTGCTTATCAATGCACAAGAATATGAACTTATTTAAATTATCAATTATATTTATTGCTTAACAATATTAATTTGTCATATTTATCAGGATGGCTGATCCGTAGAATATACTTTTTATGTTTAACTTATGATCTGTGCTCATCTTAAGATTTTATTTTTTTCTCTTCCCCTGTTCCTTAACTTAATATACTAAGACTGACTTTGTATTACATTTTATTTAATACAACTGAAGAAAACTTTGGATTTAACATTGTTTTTGATTTTTTTTTTTCTACATGTAAATTATATAATTTTGATTTATTTTTTTTTCAAATTTATATTTCTCTCCCGTTTTAGCTATGGCCTGTGCCTTGTACTGTAAGACAGTATAAGGCAATAAGTTGGTCTAGTGTTTTGTATAGCTCTGGGGGTTTAATAGTGCCAATTTTCATAAAATATATACACAATTTTATGATCTAGTAACTTTGTTCCTTGTGAAGAAAACAGGCGCTTAATAAATGAATGTATTTTTCTCTTTTTTTTTTTTTTTGTACTGTGCTTATGTTTTTTTCCCCATTAAAAAACAGTAATTTTGTATTTTTTTATTTCTGTAAGCTATGAATAACTTGCCCTGAATTGGGAAGATTTTTATTAAAACATTTTTTTTTATAGTTATAAAATGCTAGATTCATTATAGGAAAGCTTTAGACCTCCGCCTGTGTATGGGATGGAGAATTGTAGTGTCCCATAAATCTACTCTGCACTGCGGGGCTTTTTATGTATGTACCAGTGCCATAGTAGCAGATAATATGGTATATGCAGTTGTGCGAGGAAATGATCTGACTGGTTTTTCATCCATGGAAAAAATTGCAAGCACATTCTAGCACGTAAATTGAAGTTGACAGGGGTGTATCAGGCAGGTATGTAAATGTTTTTTATGTTCTCATACAAGAGACTTTTTTTTTTTTTTTTTCTCACTCTCCTGAAATCATTGCAAATGTGGAGGTTTCTGTAAATAATTGTAATTAAAATGTGTATAATATCAATGTTGATTCCTAGATTGCCCTGAAGACTGGGTAACCCATGTGCTCTGAGAAGACCCTGATCAGGTGTTCCTGGCATACTATCCAGCCAACGGTATAAGCTACAGTTACTGCTCCAGTAACTGGAACATGAGGAATATTCCCTCTGTACTGTGTAAATTGGGAAATTGTTCTGCTGATGTCAGCACAGTTGGCTTTGGAGTTGGTGTAGGGTTAAAGGGACACTATAGTTGCCAGAACAACTATAGCTTAATGTAGTTGTTCTGGTGAGTATACTCATTGCCTTCAGGCATTTTAATGCACGCATTGCAGTGTTTACAATGCCTCTAGAGACACCTCCAAGTGGCCACTGGAGGTGCTTCCTGGCTCAGTGCTGCACAGTAGGCAGCACTACTGTTGGTGTCTCTATGCATGGGGATGCTGAATTTTCCACATAGAGAAGCATTGATTCAATGGAGGTGCTGATTGTCCAAAACAATATTTTGGCCCTGCCCCTTGACAAATTTTAGCCAATCCAATGCTTTCCCTACGGGAAAGCATTGGATTGGCTAAAAATCTGCAATTCTAATATCACCAAGGGGCCAGGGCCAGTGCAGCAGACCAGCGTGGCGCTGGAAATAATGTGTTTTTAATTGCTTTGGGGGAAGGGGGAAGCCACCTAAATGGTTTTTAGTACTATAGGGTCATGAATGCATGTTTGTGTTCCTTTAAGTCTGTGGATTTTAGGTAGAGTTAAAGGGACACTATTGTCATCAAAACTTTACCTTAATGAAGAAAGTTTGGTGTATAGATTATGCCCCATGCAGTCTCACTGCTCAATTCTCTGCCATTTAGGAATTAAATCACTTTGTTTGTGCAGTCCTAGTCACACCTCCCTGCATGTGCCAAACATTGCCTTCCCAAACCATTCCTGTAAAGAGTCGTCTAGTGTTTACACTTCCATTATTGCAAATTCTGTTTTAGAGTTTATCTCCTGCTCTGTTAAAGCTTGCTAGACCTTGCAGGATCCTCTTGTGTGTACTGAAAGGGATCCTATAGTGCCAAAAAAAAGCTGTTTTCCTGGCACTATAGGTCCCGACAGTGCCCCCCTCCCTGGCATCCTCCCTCCCGCAGTACTGAACTTACCTGAATGCAGGGCTGATGTCCTGAATCCGAAATCTGATGCCAAAGTGGGAGAGGGGATCTTGAGTCTGAAATAGGGGGCTCCTAGGTCCTCTAGTCTTCTCTCACTGCCTGGGTGTAAGAAGGGAGACCAGAGCAGGACTGGAGGCACAGAAGACCAGGGAGCTACCCAACAAAGAACCAAAGGGATTGAGCGTAAAAGAACAGAACTATTGAAAATGGTTAAATGCTGAAAGAAAGGACAGTAGTGAGACTCCAGACACTATACCTGCATCAGTGACAAAGCTCTTACAGTGTTTCTTTTAAAGCAGGGGTTTATAAGGTCCTGTCAAAAAAAATTCTAACCTTTTAATGTGGTGTTTGTAACCTATATATGTCAAAATAGATACATTTTGGGCATATGAGGTATTTTCAGAATTGGACAAATACATTTCTTTTCAGGTATGGTTCTTTTAGTAGCCCCTGATTTGCACAAATTATACAATGGGAAACACCGTGGCAAATGTTTTGTGCTTCCACTAGTTTCATTACCCATAAATAACAGAATATGCATTCATATGGGGTATTCTGCCCCCTAGTGTTTTTCCATGGCTCTTGGTGAGGTTTGGCTCAAATACTGCATCTTTTGCTTGATCTGTTACAGGAGTTACACTTTTGAGTTGCGATATAAATTTTGGAAAGGGGCCAGGTTCTTGGTGCTTAGGGTAACCAGAAGACCTCAGTAGTTAGGTGTAAAGTAACCCTTCACTAGAATTAAGCCTGTATGACAAAATGGACAGCTAGAGGTATGCAAAGTGTGGCATTTGCGTACATTCTATAAAATGTGAAAGATGCCACATGCCTGCTGATAAAAATTTAACTCTGGCGCACAGGCAATACTGCTCATCCAAACTTTGTCCCATTTTAATTAAAACTCCCTAACCTCCTCCACATTTTATATTGGCACTCTTTTTTATATAAATTGACCTTGTTACACCCGTGGCTTTTTAAGCAGACAACAGGTCCTGTTACTTCCTGGTTTGATTTGCTCAATGGAGCTAAACTCGAGGCAGCAATTGCCCAGAGCCCCTACCTTTTCATTGAACTGTATCGGGAAGCCTATGATTGGACATCCACAGAAAGTCTGAGGTGGATTAGAAGGGGAAGGTGTGCAAAAGCAGTAGACGAGAACTGCAACATTTGCAAGCTGTTTTTAAATATGCCCACAATAAAGAAATGCATAACGAAATACCTGTTGGGGTGTATCTACTAAATATTTTTTTTTGTATATCTGGACAGTGGAGTGTCCCTTCAAATATAAATTGCATTCAGACTGCACATCCCAAAATGCTCTGTGTAGTCCTGACTGTGTTTTAGTCACAAAACTATTCCAACTTTGACCAAAATAACCAACTTTAGAAATTCATCAAGTTTTATGTCTGCTCTGTAGATAACTTCCAGCTTTTCGTTTATTCACATGCAGTATATTTTGATGTTCAATGAAACCATTAGGTATCCATCTGGCTGCCTTCCATATTGCTGCAGTTGCATATGCATCTTATGTTGGTGTATATCCCATCATTTTTAAGAAATGCTCAGAAGCTTGATCGGGTGTTGACTAAATACTGTTGACACATGCAATGTAATTTTGTGTGCTCAAAGGTAAAATAAATATATATATATATTTTTTTTTATTTGTATTTATTTCTATGTATAAACAGATGAAGGTGGTTGGTGTAGACTGGAGTTGATCTGTGTATGGAATAAATTTGACTGTATCTGGTGATGGAATCTTTTACCATGTATGGTGCAACAGGGTTGGAATTTTCTATTAAGTGAACAGCATGTTCCTGACTGGCAACAGAATACAGCAGCATATAGAGCAATGATGGCTAACCTTGACACCATAAATTGTTTCTGGACTACATTTCCCATGATGCTCAGCTAGATTTTAGAGTTTAAAAGCTAGCTGAGCACCATGGGAAATGTAGTCCAGAAACAATCTATGGTGTCAAGGTTAGCCATCACTGATAAAGAAGTAGGTGATAGTCTTAATGCAAGCTATAGTTACGGAGTTGCTTGCTTATTAAAGGAAAACTTTAGTGCCTGTAAAACTGTTTGATTTAATGCTTTCCTAGATGGAGGTCCTAATGTGCACACGGCAATCATTGTGCATGCGTGTTAGCACCCCCGTGTGGTGCGACATCCGAGGAGACTGAGCTATTATGACCCAGTGCTAAGGGACACTGGCATAAATATTCTTTGCCCTATAGTATCCCTTTTTAAGCTATGCGTGTCCATTGCTCCCTTACCACTGGGCATCTGATCTTCATGAAGTGATTTGATAACATTGTGTGAATTGCTCTCTGCTGCTCAAAAATTGTCTCGAGCATCTCTAAAGTAGTTGTACTATGTATCCGTATCTTATTGTGGGAAATACTTGCATTCTACTGCTTCTGTTTCCACTGCTAGTCTTGTTACTGCTAGTGTCATCAGGGTGCTACTCATCGTGGACCTCATTAGGAAGGTGGTATTTTCACTACTGCTAATCTGTACCACTAGCTGTATTCTCCTCAGCCATGTTTGGCTGCCACCAGTGTGCTGGAAATGACAGGAAGACCATTCGAAGCACTCTGTACCCAAGTTAAGTGTATTATTTAATCAACCGCCTAAGCCCGCTCTTTATTTACCAGTGCAATGTAGGACTATATCCATGCTAATATAATTTGCTTCCATCATAAACGGTAAGCTCTATCAACTGATCTATAAGGTGTGCAATTATCTTGGCCTGCTGTTTGGACACCCTCTTAGAATTTATATCACTTTAACTCCAGGCTGGGCTCAGATGGGCTATTGTGATAATGATGGCCAAACATGCCTTTGTTGACCGATGGTTTGCCATGGTTGCCTACTTTTGCTGGTGGTGATTAAGGTACTGTGTTGTGTCATTGCTGGTGATGCTAACCATAGAACTAGTGGTGGTGAAAGGTGACACTCACTCTGATACTACTTGCCATCAGTGTGCTGTGGCTAACAAGGATGTAATGGCGAAAGAGTAAACTAACTGCAAAGTGAAGCCTTGCTGCTACCATGCTTCCATGTCCTCTGACCTATAATTTGAGTCACATCTATTTACTGTTCTACTCCAGCACCTACTACTGATTGTAGTCCTTCCACTGCTGTTGTAACTGGTGGAAGAAGTAGTAGTAGTAGTAGTAGTGGTTACCGTTTTTTTTCATTTATTTATTCTGTAGCACTGTGCTACTATAGAATCTGAAAGTTTCACAGTCATACCTATAGTACTGGTGATCTTGATGTTGGAATGGGTATCACCAAATTTCTATGTGTAATCTAAAACTGCCTTATCTGCTTCCATTTT